CCCTGTGCATAAGCAGCCCTTCCTTCTCCCATGATTGTTCTCTCCAGGGTGTGTGTCTACTTGAGGTAAATGTTTAACTCACATGCCTGTACTTTGTTTCGTAGCCTAGCTTTTAAAAGAAGTGATGGTGCTACTGGCCCCAAAGATGGGGCCAACAGCACCACATGGACTATACAGTAGGCCCAAGGATGAACTTTAGGGCTATGCTGGTACCCATAAGCCCCAGAGCCTATGAGATCCAAGCACAGGCTCTAAAGACTTTGTCATCAGCACAGAACAGATTACAAAACCATGTAAGCCAAAAAGCCCCAAGAAGAAACCCTATGGGCTTTGCCCACACAAGCTACAGAAGTCCAGAAAAGCTTGCCTGGGAGAGCCCATCACAGACCCTTAGGGACCAAGAGGACCCCTTCCTCCCCTCTTTCCTCCCTGCCTGTTGCTCACCTGCTGGCCTTCGTCCTCTGCTGCCCAGTACACCAGCTCATACTTGATGATCCGCTCCTGAGGGGGCAGCAGCCACGAGAGCTGGATCCTGGTGTCAGACTCCGCCTCGGCCTGGAAGTCTGCAGGCTGGGCAGGCACTGCAACACCCCCACCCCAGGTATCATCAGTCTCACCACCCCACCTTGAGAGCAAGGGGCACCCAAGAGAAAAGGAGCAGGAGAAGGCAGGGACTTACCCTCACACCCTTGCCCTGCATCCCAGTGACAAAACACCTACTGACTCAGGGCCCTCATCTTCCCAGAGCCCCAAACCTCAGTCTTAATTCTGCCCTTAGCTGTGCAGTCACACTCACGAGTATGCACTCACCTCCCTGCTGCGTCTTAACTTGGATGTTGGGACTGGGGGGGCCGTCGCCCACAGCAGTGAAGGCAAGCACGCGCAGGCTGTAGGTGATGCCAGGCAACAGGCTGCCCACTGTGGTGAGGAGCCCTGCGTCTGTGTTGTGCTTGTGCCAGGCGCTCAGGGGGCGGCGGGAGTCTGGGGTATAGTAGACACGGTATCCCCGCACCAGGCCGTTGGGCTCCTCAGGCGGTTCCCACTGCACCAACATGGTGCTGGCGCTCAGCATACGTGCCTGTACTCGGCGTGGTGGGCTAGAGGGTGCCTGCTCGCCCGTGCGGGCCCGTACAGCCTCACTGGGAGGCCCTCGTCCAATGCTATTCACTGCCAGCACACGGAAGGCGTATTCTGAAAAAGGGCTGAGGCCCCCAATGCTGTAGCGGGTGGTAGCCACACCGTCTACCTCCTGGAAGGGGCCCTCTGTGCCCGCTGCACGGTACTGGATGCCATAGTAGGACACAGGCTCTGAGTTTCCAGAGTCCCAAGTCAGGGTGACGCTGGTAGCAGTGGTCTCTGTCACCAGAAGGTCAATCGGAGGCTTAGGCAGAGCTGGAGGCAAAGGAGAAGGCTCAGAGCTGCCCAAGATCATGACCCCAAGAACCAACCCTGCCTGTGGTGTGGTTCAGAGGTTGGCCAAGGCAAGTGTGGCTGACACTGACAGACCACCTTGAAGAATGGCCTGAAAAGCATGCAATGACCTCTGAGTATCTACCCATGCCACTTCTGGGACTCACTGGATCCTCACATTGGCCTAGTGACAACCAGGTACTTAACAAACAGGATCGAGGTGACATGACCTGCCCAGGGTCCCATATAGATGGAAAGCACACAGGACAGGGTGGCAGAGAGCTACCTGGGACGTTCAGTATACTCACTTGTTGGCAAACCTATATAGCAGGGCCAAATGAAGACATTTCTTAAGGGGCTGCTCTAGCTTTTTAAAATTTTGGTGAAAATACACATAATGTAACGTATACTCATTCAACAATTTCTACGCAGCCTGGCTTTTAAAAGAAGTGATGGTGCTATTAGCCCCAAAGATCCTGTAGCTTGGCTCACATGGAAGGTAGAGAAGTCCTAAGCATAGCCAGGACTTAATTCAGTAAGTAATTATCGAGTGCCTATCAGTAACAGAAAGTCCTTGAGTGGTGTGACCACTAGCAGAAAGGTTGGTGGTTCAAACCCACCCAGACGTTCCTCAGGAGACAGGTCTGGTGGTTTGCTTCCAAAAGACCACAGCCTTGAGAACCCCATGGAGCACTTCTACTCTGCACGCATAAGGTCGTCATGAATCAGAATTGACTTGATGGCAACTAACACCACTGGGTGCCAGGCATCAGACTAGACCCTGGAGATAAAAGGTTATAGATAGTCTGGCTCTCTGCTCTCAGGGAGTTTTTGTTCCAGGAACAGAGAGATTCATTAAATGAGTCAATAGTGATCATATACGAGGAGGGCAGGAGGAAGCAGGGCGCGATAGAGGAAAATATAGGAATCTCCCTGGACAAAGTGACCAGGGCAGGCCCCACCAGGCTGAGAACTGAGGAGTGAGATGTCTTGAGCAGTGGGGAGGGCTGGTGAGAACCAGAGCAAAAGCTAGACCAACCGAGTCAGTGTGGCCAGTGCACACAGAGGGAAAGGCCAAGCTGTCTGCATGAAGCACGAGGCTGGCCGCCTGCTTTCTCCTACAAGCAACATGGAGCCACTGAAAGGCATTAAGAAAGGGAGCGACATGACCCTGAGTCACATTTTTCAAGCATCACTTAAGTTGCAGAATGGAGGTGGATCAGAGGGAGGCAGAGCTGGAAGCAAGGCGACCAGAGAGGAATCCATTACACATGCGTACCTGTCCCCAGGGCTCTGGGCTAAGAGACAAGGATGAGACAGAAAATCCACTTTCCCTCGTGGCTACTATTTTATCACATCCTTCTTGCTCAGAGGCCGTTAAACCCAAAGAGTATGGTACTGCATAATGGTTAGAGGGGCAAGCTGGAAATCAGATCACCCAGGGTTCAAATCCCTGCTCCATCATTTACTCCTGTGTGACCTTGGGCAAGTAAGTAGCCTCTCTGTGCCTCAGTTCCCTCATGTGTAAAATGAGGACAGTAAATGCACCCATCTTCCAGGGCTCCATGAAGACTATACAAAATAATCTGTCCTTATTTAGCACAGCATCTGCCACCTAGGAATTCAATACACATTGTCTGCCACCTAGGAACTCAATACACATCAGCTATTCTTGGTGGTGCAAATGGTTAATACACTTAGCTGCTAACTGAAAGGTTAGGGGTTCAAGTCCACCTAGAGGTACCTCACACAAAAAATCTGACAATCTACTTCTGAAAAATCAGCCACTGAAAATGCTATAGAACACAGTTCTAAACACGTCAGGTTACTGTGAGTCAGAGTTGACTTGATGACAACTAGTTTTATGGCATTCTTACTAAGGCTATTAATAACCAAAACCACTCCCTCACCACTAAGGGCCAGTGGGACCTCAGAGCTGGGGCAATGAGAAGAGAATGCTGACCTCTCAGCCTTGCCTGTCCCCACAGCAGCCACGTTTGCCTGCCACAAGCACTGACCTTTCACTGTGACCTGAGCTGTGGCCTCAATCATGCCCAGTGAGGAAATGGCCACGCAGGTGTAGTTGGCGGAGCGTATGACGTTGCTGAGCTCCAGCACATTGCGGCCAACTGGCATCTCGTCCTCCTTGGTGAGCTCCTCAGCACCCATCATCCACTTCACATAGGGCATGGGCGCACCCACGGCAACGCATGTCAGGTTCACACTGCCACCCGGCATCACCTCCTGGCTGCTGGGAGGGATGGAGAAACGAGGAGCCACACGGCGCACTGCGGGAGGAGGGAGAGAGGCACTCATAGGCTAGGCAGGACACCCAGGGCACAGAAGGGCAGGGGCCCTCATCCAGGAGCCCCTCTTGTCAAAAGCCAACCCATGCCCAAAGACAAGAGGAGTAGAGTCCCAGGGCCCCGGTTTACCCTCTCCCTTCCCACTTTTGGGGCAGAAGTAGCTCCCACACTCAGGGACTGTCTGGAACGCAACGTCTTATTTTACTAGAGATCTTACAACCAAGCTCCCACTTCACAACCCAGGAAACTGAGGTCCGGTAAGGTCATGTCTGCCCAGAGTCACCCAGGGACTCTGTGCAAGGCCCAGGCCTCAAGTCTACACTCCAGGCCTGGTCAGGACCACACTCCAGGGTGCCTTCCAGTGCCCGCCCTGGCCCTCTTCCCATGTGTCTCCAGAGGAACTAGTGGGGGCACCAGTGAGAGAAACCCAAGCACTCTATGGTGGAGGTCCTTGAGAACATGGCTAGGGCAGGGCAGAGGGTCACTCTGGGCATGACATGGCCACATTCTCTAAGGTCACTGCCTCTTCCTCCAGGCCTGAGAAGAAGAGATGAGGGGAAGTGACATGACCGCCTGCCTGGGCCTTAGCCATGCTCCAAGCTCAACTTGGGAACCCAAGAGAAGGGGGCTGACCCCAAGGAGAGTGGCTGGGTGGGGACAATGGGCCAGGGCAGGCCAGGGACATGGTCCGCGGGCAGGATGGGCATGATAATGGCAGTAACATGATGAGGGCGCTGACAGCTCTCTGCGCCGATGAACAAGGGGCTCAAGGGGAAGGGCGGCTGTGCCTGGCCATGGCCTCTGGCCTTAGGCTTTCCTGGTCAGAAGCTGTTCTGAGCTTCTCAGTCCAGGGGTGCAGCCTGGAACCACCTCCTGAAAGTTGCAAGCTTGGCACAGACATTCAGAGCATGCAGAGGGAGGGAAGGCAGGCGAGACCTAGCCATGGGGAGACATGCTCAGCATGCAGACAGCATGCAACTGATGGGCAGAAGCCAGGGTACGTCCCCCACAGGCACCCGTACAGACAGGGCCAGAAACGCAGGCAATGAAGCCAAGTGACCAGAGGGCACTACTGAGAACACTGGTCACTGAGGACCCTTGCTGGGGAGCCAGGGCATGCAAAGGACCCACGGCACAATGTCAGGAGTACCTCCACTGTCAGTATCACACTCTGCTGCTCAAACAAATCAGAACCAGAGGCAACGGCAGAGATCACCTGGTCCAACCTCTGACCTCTCCAGCAAAGGTAACAAAGTAGAGGCTCAGAGACCAGACACCCAGAAAGTCACCCGGTCCTGTTAATACCACTGCCCAACGTATCTTACAAACCCATTCATTTTGTTCCAAACTCCGTGGGCATCTGCTATCACCAAAGTCCAAGCCATCATCATCTTTCACTGGATCACTACAGTAAGTTTTTCATTGGTCTTTCTGCCTTGTCATCCTTCATGCTCCCTGCTCCTGTTAACTGGCCCTCCACACACAGTTGGCACAAATCTGACCATATCATTTTCCTGTTTAAAACTGCTGTATGGTTCCCAATGCCTTAGGGAAGAGCTCAAGCTGCTCAGTCCAACATCTAAGACCCCATCTTACTTATGCCCCATCTTGCTATGAGTGCTCCAGACAGAACTAAAACACTGGCAGTCCCTGAGTGTGCCAGGCATGACCAATGTCATGGACTGGGTCTACTTCCATGTGTTCAGCCGTGATAGCAAGGTATCTCATAGACATCAAATGTTGTTGCCTTCTACTAGAACCAGTACCCCTATTTTCTTAGGGGAACACCATCTCTCTTCCCATTTTGTCTGTGGGGCATGTGACCCAGATCTGACAAACAGCAGCCTTGAGAAATTTGCAAAAGCTATTAGAAAAGCAACTTTCTCTCTCTACTCAGGTGGCTAGGTTGGAAGATGAAAGCTTGGTGTGGCTGGGGACCACCTTTACCAATATGCAGGAGAACCTGCTTGAGAACAAAGAAGTCAGTGCCAAGGAGAGCAGAGCTAAGAGACGGAGACAGACAGGTGCCTGACCAGACTGTATAAATATCTGTACCCAGCCCTGCCCGACGCCAAACGTACTTCTACATTTTTCAGTTTTGTAAGACAAGAGTTTCCTTGTTTGGCTGAAGCTGGTATAAATTGGGTTTCTATGTTTGCTTTAATGCTGGGAGACTATGACAAATGATGGCAGCACATCACAGGCAGAAGGTTCCATGTGGCAGAGAGAGGGGGTCCTGGAGGCATGGCTGGCAAAAGGAAGCTACAACAAAGAGTACCTCTGGACACCTCCCACCCCAAAATGGCACAAGGGTGATGTCAGAGGGCACAGACAGATATGGAACCCAGCCTGATGGTATGGGAACTTCCTGGGCTCCAGGGCTGGGTCCAAGGGGTGGTGATGGGAGAAGAGGCATAGGCAGGCAGGTCTGTTTGCAGATCAGGCCCAGGCCTGCCCTGAAGGGAGAGTATGGCACAACCCTGGCTCTAGAAGAAAGGCTGAGGGGAGCAGCCTTAACTGACCAAGTCTTTCCTGCAGTCTGAGCCAGGGGCTGCCACAGGTCCTCATTTGTGAGCCTCAAAACACATCTGAGGAAGGGAAACCACTCTTGAGCACTTAATGTGTGCAAGAGGTTTTATGGGTGTAGACGTTATCTTCCAATTAGACCAGGGAATTTATTTAATACTGATCTTTAAGTGATATGCCCAAATTCATATACGCTGTTAAGAGTAGGTCTATGGGATGAAAAACTCTTGTCCTTTTGTGAACCCTGGTTGACAGGCTCTAGAGAGAAGCTACTGCATTAGCCAAGGCTGGCAGATGAGAAGGCTGCTCCAGTTGGCATAAGGATAGGACTTCGAGAGCCTTTGCCGAGGAGGTCACTGGCTGCAAGTTTGACCCTGGTAAACGGTGGAATCTGGGGGCCTGACTGGGTCCTTGGATGCCAGAACAAAGATCCCTAGCAGAAGTGGGTCCTGGGCCAGTAAACCTTGGACCTTATCCTAACCAGCCCAGAACGTGACTGACTACTAAACAGTCCCTAGAGGACAGGGTCTTCAGGCTAAGATGCAGACCTCATGAACCAGTCCTGGAGGTTACATTAATCCCCTGGGTCATCATTTCCAAAAGCCTCAAACTTCACCCAACATAAAAAATAAAAGTATAGGTCCTTCAGAGAACTCACTCCTGCAGAGTTTGGGAGGGAAGATATGACCCAGTGAGCATCTCTAACCAGGCTAGCCCTCTATCCAAGGCTCCTAGGCACCCCACCCTTCACTCCTTCACAAGGACACTGGGCTTCAGCCACTTCCAAGGAGTCCTAGGGCCAAAGAGGGCTTCCTGAATGTCCATATCCTTCATGGCAGGGGTAGGGAGAGCCAACTTCCTGGTTTTCCAAGTGCCAGTGGGGCCCTGCCTCTCTGACTGCCCAGCCAGCCGCCCCCATCCTCACACCCAAGAATGGCTAGTGGCTGCCTGCAGCAGCCTTGCTGTCCTTCCGCTGTGGTCACAGACACAAGGCCTCCAAAAGGAACAAGACTTGCCCTGAACTGTATATTGACAGAAGGAGCGGCGGGGAAGGGAAAAGTGAAAGTGGGAAAGATGCATTTAGGGTCTAATCTTGGGTTCCAACAATGCCAGTCTATTACCGTTCCCTGTGCATCCTCAGTGCTGACATTTTATAGACAATTTCTAAAACAGGGCCCTGCCATTTCTGGATTATATTTCAGCTGTAACTTTTAAGTCTAATTATTTGCACTGACAACCCCCTATAATGGGGCAGCGCAGTGCCCGGAGGCATCAGCATTCAGCAGAGTGACAGCCTAATCGCAGGGAGAGGCAGCCCCGCAATCTGCATTCACTCACGGAAATTTCTCTGATGAAAATAACACAACATTAAGGAGGGGAGAAGGGGCAGGATCCACTGTATCAAGATAAAATAACTCTTTAATAAATAACCTTGTGGCTGCCGCAGAACAGTAATTAGATGCTGGCGCACCCGGCACAGTTTTAAGTAAAGCTGGAAAAATGTAAGATGTAATTATCAGCGCCAAACGAATTACCAGCCCGGCAAATCCCCCCAGAATATTTAGAAACTCATTTCTGCCTTCCCGTTAAATATTTGTGTACGTGCTTATTTTTGGTGGGACCACAGGGGGAGGGGGTAAGGAGAAAGGACAAGGGACCAAGAGGGTGGGGGAAGGGGCAGGGAGGAAGTAGCTGCAGGCTGGGCTCAGTCTCTGCTGATAGCTGTTTTCTGAACGCCCAGCAGATCTGCCCTGTCAGCGAAACAGTGAAACCAAAATGCCCCTGAGCCTCCGAGTGCATATGGAAGGCTACTCAGGGCTGATATCTGAGCTGCGGCCGCAGCCCTCCTCCTGACTAACTCTGCTCCCTCTTGGAGGAAACTCAAGCCAAAGAGGCAGACGCACAGGGGACCAGGAGCTTCTGCTCAGTGGATGGTGAGCCTCCTCTTGTCCATACAGAACACACGACACAAGAATGACTGCTAGAGCCTGCTGCTGGAGACAGCATTGAAGGTTAGGGGCTAGCCCCATGGGCGGGCTGAGAATTGAGTCCCATATGGAGATTCTGGAATGGGCCTGAGGTAAGTCAAAGCCTTTCCCAATCTTGGGCCCCATCCTGGCTTCCACAGCCTCAGTATTTCTTCCTTAGAGAATGGACCTCACTAAGCCACAAACGCCCAGCTATCACCCCAAGTGTGAGCTCCTTGGGTGTAAAGACCCAGCAACTTGCACATGGCTGAAGAAATGTTAGCTGCTGGCTGGCCAAATAAATGTCATCCTTAGGCAGACATGGGGGGCTCAGGCAGAAGTGCCTGGGGTGGGGGGAAGACATTTAATGTGGATCTGGCTGGAAAGGAAAAAGACAACACTGTAGGAAACTTACTCAGTGAGCCAAGATGACCCCACCCAACCTGGGCCAGGACACCAAGCTTCTCTGAGGCAGATCTAGGTTGGCTGCCCCATCTTGGTGGGAATCCCTGGTGCCTCAAGGACCAGATGGAAATTGCAGGACTTTTGTCCTTTGTGGCAGGATCTGAAGGGGACAGCCCACTCTAGCCTTTATCCTTTGTCCCAGTTGTTGCAGCTAAGCTTAGGGGCAAATGTGGATTTTAGGAGAAGAGGGGACAGAGGAAGGCTCCACAGGTACACATAAGCTCTTACATCCCCCTCTGACTGCAACCACTCCTGAGTTCCACCTGCAGCCTGGGCACACAGGTGGGGTGCCATTTCATGCCATGCACCATGCCCATCCCCCTGCACCAGCAAGGGAGCCCCTAGAGGGACATGCAGACATGTAGTGCATCAGGGACAGAAACATGCAGGACGAGGGTCTGCCCACCCACCCCTGGTCCTGCCCGCCTGCTGGCCCTGCCAGTGGAGAGCAGAGCCCAGCTGATAGGCAGGCATGGCTGGATTGAGCCTGAGGGAGCTGCCTGAGCCCGCTGGTCCCTGCTGACGGGAGCATCCCATCGACGGGCAGACTGTAGATGGATAAGAAGTGAAAAGGACCAACCTTCTCGCTGATCTGAGAGATGAGAGTTTGGGTTGATGGCAGAGTGCGATGAGGATGAGGAGGGAATAAAAAAAAGACAAGGAGAAACACAGAGAGAGTAAAAACAGGCCAACCTTCAACTGCCCACACAGCACGGAAACGAGACAAGACTCCTGTGCCCCCACGCACACACACATGCACACAGGTGCGCATGGACCACGCTGCTCACGAAAGACTCAGGACTCATGGAGGACATGGTGGACGGGTGGGTACCACAGCAGGTCCCAGGGACACCAAGGCCAGTGGAGGGGTGGAAGTGGGGCATGGCAGGCCCTCATGCCTCACACGCACCCCACAACTAGAATAGGCCCATGGAACTGGGCTCTGGCATCAGGGTCCACCCAGCCCACAAACCCACCAAAGTACATGAGCCACTAGAACCCCACCACCTTGAGGACACCCCATGCTCAAAAGCACCAAAGTCTGAGGGCACGTCTGGGACCTGTGGGGAGGAGAAAAGTTGGGAAGACACCACCCTAGTTTCAGACACCACTGCAGCCCAGTAGTCAGGTCCCTGCAGAGAAGGGGGAAGGCTGGTGGCCCTGGTGCAGGTAAGCCAGGCTTTGTGGAGGGTGGGGCACTGCCCTGGCCCCTAGCAGCTATGCACCCTGAGAGCTGGAGGAGAGAGACGCTGTGAATAGAAGGAGAGAATGAGTCACTCGGGAAGGGAGTCAGATGGTGACGGAGAAAGAGCCTGGTCCACCCCAGCATGCCTGGGCCTGCCAGACTGTGGGTGGAGCTGCGGGCAACAGTGAGCAAAGTTAGAAGTAACCGGATGATCCATCCCCCTGGATAACGCTATCATGACAGCAGCGGCAGCTACTCTCATATGCCTGGGGGCTGGAGCTTTATACTTTGTCCCATGCAATGCAGCAACCACAGGGCCTCCAAAAGGCAGCAGAAGCCTTGAAAGTCTGGGGGGGACAAAGGTGGGGTGTTGGGGTAGGCAGTGAAGCTTAGTCTGAGGAAGAGACAGGCATCAGGGCCAATGAGCAAGAGAGAGGAGAGTCAGAGATAGATGAAGACCCAAGCCAGTGGGAGGCCACAGATACAGAGCAGTGTTCTCACCAGGGCAACTTCCCCTCGGACATGGGGCAATGTCTGGGGACATTTTTGGTTCTCGTGACTGGAGGTGCTACTGGCATTCAGTAGGTTAGGGATGCTGCTAAATACTTAAAAAATGCACAGGACATCCCCCTATGACAGAGACTTATCCAGTCCAAACTGTCCTTGTGCTGAGGTTGAGAAATCCTGGCCTAGAGTCCATCCCAATCTGGATGCTGAGGCCCAGGCCCAGGCCCAGACAGAGTTGAAGACCAACAGTCTCAACCACATGGGGCACAGAGGTAGAGGAACAGGAGCCTGTTAAAAAGAAGCCTCAAAGCTGCTGGGAGATGGGCAGGACCTAGGCCCCAAAATAGGCCTGGTATCTGGGACTATCTCCATGGGTTCTCTGTCCATAGGAGCTTCAGGATACAGAGCTGGTGGCCAGCATGGCAGAGGCTGCCCCAGAGAAACCATGACTGCAAAGGCCCAGCCCGAGCTGGGGCTGATGGGCCCTCAGTCTGCTGGGGGCAGAAGGCTTTTGCCAGGTCTGAGGAAGGTAGGGACACCAGAGGAAAGCGTTTCAGGTAGCAGGGTTTTCCCTGTCTAGAAAACTTGTCAGCAGGTCCTATCCTGGGGCCATAAGGCAGGCTACTCCCAGTAAACTGGAGCAGGCGTAGGTTCAAGTGGGGCCTGGATATGAGGTAGGTCCTAGAAATGGAACCCTGGGACTACAGACATCAAGATCCACAGGAATGTGACTGTGTATTCCTGTGTGTGTGTGTGTGTGTGTGTGTGTGTGTGAGCGCATGCAAGTATATCAACAAAGGCTAAGTTGGAATAGCTTATTTTAGAGCCTGTGGTAAGTGGGACGACTGGAATGGAAAGAACCACCACATTCTCTGTCAAAAACGCTTATGGGAATGGAGCTAGAAAGGTAGTTCAGAAGATCTGGTGGAGTGAGGGTGGGCCATGGCAGGAGCCAGTTGAGTCTTGCCTGAGCATGGCCATGTATAGACAGTGTGGGCCCATAAACGGGGTGCTTCCAGGGGCTAGAGGTAAGATCACCCCAGTCAGGAGCCCAGCTTTAGCTACAGCAGCTGGGCTCAGTTCATTTCCAAAGTCCCATTGCTCCTCCATCTTCCAGGCTAAGGCCAGCATGACGGTGACTTCGAAGAAGGTTGTCCAGGCAAGATGACTACACAGGGGTCCATCCACACTGGCTCTGGGCCTTCTCTGCCTCGGCGTCACCTCCTGCAGCTCCTCCCCAGGACACATGGCCATACAACTGTGCCCACGTAACTGACAGTGCTCCCACCCCACTGGCTCTGCCATGCCTCTCCTCTGCCCGGTGTAGCCACAGTGAGCAAAGGGCTTCCTTGCTCCAGGAATTCCAGCCTATTGGAAGGAATACTCAGTTGAGAGAGCACAGTGTTTGGAATGGTCTGGGTAGGGAGAAAGAAGCCTTTGTGAAAAGGGTCACTTCAGCTGCTCCTCTCTCGGAGGGACCCATCAGTCCCATGTCCCCGTATCAGAAGTCTGCCTGGAGCTGTGCAGGGGTGAAGGCAGTGCTGTTGTCAACTCTGCTTATCTTGGCTATGTTGGTGGTTCTCAGGCTCCTGGCTGCCCTGCTCTAATGCTGTTCCTAAGACAAGACCTCAGTCAGGTCAGCTAAGCCTCAATGAGTAGGGGACTAGATTGCAATGAGGGTGGTGAGGACAGCCCATTCCATGCCCCTAACTACAGTGAAGCACTGTTCACTGTCTCTGGAGCACAACTTGCCCATCACAAATAGCCCCCTGCAGCTTGATTAGTCACCAAATGGGCGGGAAGATTCTTGAGGCCTCTCTGCAACCACTTTGAGCACCTGACATTTAGTAGGCCCTCATTAACTATATGGTGACCGACTGCCTAATTCTCTTCGCCTTGTCGGACTGAGCATGTCAGATCACATGGCCCTAAAGCACGGGACAGACCACTACTTTCCCTGCCCCCTGCCCTGTGCTCTGCCTGTGCAGACCAAACAGCTCGCAAAGGGTGCACCAAGCACTTAGCGTGATGAAATCATCGCTACAAGGAAGCCACATCCACTTTCTACCCATCCCCTGAGTACAGACAGTTTAACTTTTAATGATGCCATCTGTGCAGGAGGGCGAGGAGAGGGGGGCATGGGCTGAGTCCTCTCAATCTCCCAGGGCTTCTCTTGGGCACCATGCATACCAGACACAGTGTGTTCTTAGGAAAGGGCAAGGTGGCCAGCTTCACGTGTCCTTGGGCTGTGAGCAGAGCAGAGACTGGACCTCTCAAAACAGTCCCCAGGCCTTCCCTGCTGGGTACCTAGATTTGTGAAAAGTGCATGATCCACTTAGTCCCAAATAGTGAAACTTGGAACATAGTAGCTGCTCACCCAAGACAATGTACGCTGTGGGGGCTCATAGCTGCCTCAGCCTGACCTCCTTACACAAGGGTCCCGTCTGGTGACAGAACACAGTTGGAGCCTCCAGGTAGGCATGGCCTGAGGGCAGGCTCACCTGGCCAGGTCCATTTCCGAGGCCTGGCCATCACCTGGCCAGGTCCATTTCCGAGGCCTGGCCACCCTGAAGCCCAGAGCTAGCGTAATACTGAAGGCCACTCTCCTGGGGAAGAAAGGCAGGACAGAGTTGAGGAAGACTAGGCCAGGAGTGCACGTTTATATACAAGCATGTGTGCCTGTGCACACATACACACACACACACACACACACATTCACTGTGACCTCTGCTCAGAAGGCTCTCAATTCTCGTGGGGCTCTGGGCCCATGTGGCAGGACCTACAAGAGACGCAAATGCTCCCAGGAGTGGCTGTTTCCCGAGAGGCCTGCAGGAAAGGAAGGCAAAGTAGTGGCGGACACTACTTTGCACTGGAGCCTGTTTGCCTGCCCAGTGGGAGGTGTTGCTGCTGCTATTGCTGCTGCAGAACGAAACAGGAAAAAAGAGAGACTGGACCTATTGTGGACCCCCTGCACGTCCACACCAAGGGCTCCTGGCAGCATGCCCACTAGGTGTAGCACAGCTCCATGGTGACAGAGGCCAGGTACTGCCTGAGTCCTTACCTCGCACATACAGGTTTGCAGGGGCCGAGTAGCGTGTGCCTGCAGAGTTGGTTGCCACACACTCGTACTTGCCTTGATCCGATTCTTCGCTGCTCTCAATCTGTAAGGCACCTGTGGGGACACAGAAGCAAAGGTCAGGCACAGCCTGGGTTTGGTGTTGCCTAGGACATTGGGGGGGGGTTGTCTTGGAAGTATTTGAGGCTTCTGTTCATCAGACGTTGCAGTACGTCCATGGCCATACCCTGGCTCCAGTGCTGCTTCTGCAAAGTTCTCCCTGATGAGCCCAGCGGCCCTCTGGCTGGAATAAGGGTTGAGCTCTGGAGTCCAATCCCCACCCCCAACCCCACTGAGCATCCACCACCCAGCACTGGAGCCTGTTTGCCAAAGAACATCCCCATAAGTGCTCCACAGGCCAGCCAGGCACCACCGAGCCAGGTGTGGGAGTAGCCTGTAGACTTGCTGGTCTGGGGTTCTCAAGTATACAATGCCCTCTTCGGGCAAGAGCCTGAGAATCTGCCACCCACCCTAATTCCACAGGAAGGAAAGGGCTTACTCTAGGGCCTCACAGCCTCTGCTCAAGCACCCATCCTCCCTCCCACCCCATGGGCCCCACCCATTCCGGCTTCTCTCCTCTGCCTGGTCCTGCTAAAGTGCTTCGACCCACCACTGCTCCTGCATAATTCAGGAGGCTAATGGGAGCTCCCACTCGGGCCAGCGCCCTGAGGGGCTGCTCTGGCCGCAGACGGACAGACAGGAGCCAGGACTGGGGGGGGGCAGGCAGCAGAAAAGGACCCCCACAGAGAGTAGAAGAAACGATTTGGCTACCCCCCACCCCCAGCAATAAACACTTGAATACACTGCTTGCAAGAGCACGCTGGGCAAAGCTGTCTGTGACAATAACACCTCCAGGCACAGGCAACGCTCCCATCTCTGGAACAACCAGACAATCACACCCACACAGGACAGTCCAACTGACAGTTAATAACCCCCACAGGACACGGTCTAACAGAAAACCACCTCCTGCACAGAACAGCCCAAGTGACCCAGCAGCCCCCACCCCACCCAGGGCACAAGCTGAATGACATTACACCCACACAGGACACAGACAGAACCTGCCGGGCCCCACTGGACTGGCCAGGACAAGAACCACAGGAAGAGTTCCAAGTATAACCCAGGCCCAGAGGAGGGGTCTGAGTTCTAGCCTCTGTACCTCCTGACGTCCCTCTTCCATCATCCAAACCCAGGGCAGCAGGAAGGGCTACAAACACCCAGGGCTGGGACCCAGACACAGGCGAGAGGGGATGCCCACCCAGACTTGGTCCTGATACAGAGGACAAGAGGATAGTTGTCTCCATGGTCCTGGGTCAGCCACAGTCCTGTGATCCCAGGACCTTCTCCAAAGGTCAACAGAGATCCAGCCTCCCCCCCTCCCCGAGATTATCAGGGCATTAGAGCCCACTGCACATACCAAATACCCATCTCCTGACAGAATAGCCCTGATGGGTACCCAACAGGTCATGTTTATGGGATGGATGGACGTTGTTACAGAAAATGTTCATTCAGATGGGGAGGGATCAGGCCACTGGCTGGCGGGGGCAGCATTAAGTCTAGTGCAGCTGGGAGGTGAAGGGAGACGTGGTAGCTTGTGCCACAGACCAGGAGTAGGGAGTAGTGTCTGGGTGGGATCCCTGCCTGTGGGAGGAGGAGACTTCCCAGTGCTGAAAGCCTAGACTGGTTAGGGGACTCAACGCAGACCCTGCCTTGTGCCTATCTGTACACAGAAACCCAAAATTCTGGAACCAAAACCAAGATCCAGCAGCAGGGGCAGCAAAGAGTTAGAGCAGGCTAGCAGGTAGGCAGGGGCTCCAGAGAGCTGAAGGGAGGAGGGAGACTTGGCCTCTGGGGAAGACAGGTAAGGTACCCCACAGCAAGGCACCTGGACCTCCCACCCCTGATTTCATCCCAAGACTGCCCTGACTCTGACCTCTGAGAGTCTAGATCTGCTCAAGGACTCTCAGAAAGGTAGGGAGAAAATGATGTGAAAAAATGCAACCATTTTACAGGGTGTCTGCTTTATGCCAGATATTGTACAAGTTTTATTCTAATTCTCCTAGCCCTAGGAGGTAGATGTCCTAGCTCCAATTTTAAAAGGAGGAAACATTTCTGGGAGATGATTATGTTTTTGAAAGTCACACAAGTGTTAAGTTAGACTTGAACTCAGTTCCTTTAATGAGTCCAGACTGATCTTTTAATGCTAGGCTACAGGGCCTCCTGCATGAGCACTCAGGGGCGACACAGCCTGGTGAGGACTCCAAGCTGGCAGGTTAGGTGGTCGAGTTATTCATGGCCCTGTTTAGACCCCTGCTGCCATCCCAGCATCTACACTAACATCTTTACTGAACTGTCCTCTACTCTCTGATGGACTGCAGGGATGTAAGGAACAACCCTGATTCTACTGTGTTGTTAGCTGCTCCCAAACTGGCCCCCGACTCATGGCAATCCCATGTACAACAGGATTAGACTATTGTATCCACAGGATCTACCCTAGCTGGTTTTCAGAAGTAGATCACCAGGCCTTTCTCCCTAGCCCATCTTAGTCTAGAAATTCTGTGAAACCTGTTCAGCATCATAGCAACACTCAAGCCTCCAGTGACAGATGGGTGGTGGTGGCTGTGCTGGAGGTACACTGGCCAGGAACTGAACCCAGGTCTCCTTCAGGGAAGGTGAGAATTGTACCACTGAGTCACCACTACCTTCTGATTCTACTATAAGGCCAGGACATTAAAAGGGAAGTCAAGTAATAATTGAGATTCCCAAGAAAAAGGAGGCCCTCAAAAGGAAAAACATGGCTTGGGTCATGCTTACCCACGTCACAGACCTTCCACCTATGGCCAGCCTTGGGGACCTGGGCTTGCTTTCACTGTGGGAGCTATTATGTGCCCCTCTGTGGCGCTGGCCTAGAAGGCCTGGGCAGTAGGGTTTGCCATCTCCAAGGCTGGGCTCAGCCGAGTATCTCCACAAGTCAGACTTGCAATGGATGAGTTCACAGGAGGGAATGACTGAGTGGATGTGTGTGTGGCTGGCGGTGTTGGGTGGGGCCGGAGCTGGAGATGAGGAAGCCAGAGAGGTCAGGATGGGGATGGGGAAGGTGACGGACTGGACGGGATGGAGTGGTGGTGACAGCAGTGGTGTGGCGTGGCGTGGCGTGGCGTGGCGAGATGCACGGACAGCATTCTTACCTCTGATTGGTGAACCACCTGGCGAGGTAATTTGAATGCAAATAAGATCAGAGAGAAGCATTAGTACAAAAGGAAAGAAAGCCACACAAAGCCAAATCAGATAAAATAAAACACAAGAAAGGGCCTTAAATATACGGAAAAACTGAGGCCTGAGTTAGGCTGACACAAGTGATGTGGGAGCAAGCACCAGGCTGGGTGTGGGTGAAGCTGTGTCCCCCAGGTCACTGGCACTGCTCTGAAGAGGGAGGAAGTGAAGGGGGACCAGCAGGGCTGGGCGTGACAAGAATCAGGAAGGTGAATAAGGCTTCCTGCAGAGCCCACTGGCTGGGGCCAATGGAAAAGGAAGAAAAGAGGAGCAATACCACCCTCCAGGACTGTCCAAATTCCAAAGGTGGCTAAGAGTCCAAATCAAAGCACTTACCAAACGAACCCAGGGTGTTTAAGCAGGCAGAAGAAAGGGCTGAAAGGGGTCTTGCCAAAGGCTTCCACCAGGTCAGGTCTCCCACAGACAAACAGACCAGCCCTGGTAGGACTCAGGGTCAATCAACTCATAACCCAGTGGCAGACTCCCTGCAAAGCCCACTTGGCTCTGCCAAAAAACATCCAACTACTGAACTCCGTGCAACCTGACTGGTGAAAGCCAGAGGCTAGAGTGTACCCCTTGCTGGTTCAGTGCCTTGCAATCTTGGGAATCAGCAGCCAAGAGGGTCAGACCCACACCCTCCAAATCTCCGGTCCAAAGTTGTTAGGAAGTCTAAACAGGCCCTTCCCGACAAGTACCTCCTCTAAGGTTGCATTCAAGATCCCCTACTCAACATCGCCTCATCCAGAGGCGGGAGGAGCCTGGGGGTCCATGTTCAGCTTTATCTACCTGCCCCCCTCTGCCCACTTCTGGGTGGTAGAAGTCTGTGAAGACACAAACATTTATCACCATCTCATAGAACCTGACAATACTGGTCAGTGGGGAACTGCCCATCTCTGTGCCCAAAGGAGGAAACAGGTTGAAAAACACTAAGTGACTTGCCCAATGCCCAAGGTCACACAATTATAAGTAACAAGGCAGGATTTGACCAGATCTGTCTGGTTCTAAGACTCATAGTCTTCCTACTGAACAATGTTGCCCTGTAGAAGAGGCTGGGGAGAAGTCAGGGGGCAGCTGTTGGGGCCAAGTGTGTGTGTTTAATGGGTCGCACAGGATTACTAGGGAAAAATCATCACACTGATTCTCCAAGTGTGGTGCAGGGGAAGTCCCTCAGACCCTTTCTGAGGGTCCACACGGTCAAAAGTATTATCATAATAATACTAAGACATTACTCGCCTTTTTGGCTCTCATTTTGAGTATACAGTGGAGTCTTCTAGAGGCTACAGACCATGTGATATTGCAAGACTGAACACAGAAGCAGATATGAGAATCCAGCTGTCTTCCATTAAGCCCCAAATTAAAGAGATTTCCAAAAGTGTAAAATAATGCCATTCTTCTAACTAAATGATTTGTTCTAGAAAATATAATTATTTTGTAGTAAAAAATGTTACTTATGTTAACATATAATGGGTTTTACAGTTACTTTTAAAGGAATTATTAGTTAGTATTTAAAATATTTTCAGTCTTAGTATCTAATCAAGTAAATACTCATAGATATATAACCCACACAAACCAAAGCACATTGAGGTCCTGAATTTTTAAAATTTGAAGTCCTCAGACCAAGATCTATTCCTGGGGTTCAGGCCAGGGCCTGGGGAAGGGGTGGCAGTGTAAACAGTCCAGGATTGGGATCTTGGCTTCTGGCCTCAGCTCTTTCAAAACCTAACCTGCTGCATGTTAAGTCTTTGGACCTCTTGAAACAGTAATTTCCCCACCAAACTGAGAATAATTTGTCTTTTCTGTTTCACAAAGCAGTATGGAGGCTGAAGGGGACCTGGAGCTGCACTCATGCTCCTGAGAAGTACCAGTGCACAAAGGTCAAGGGAAATTGTGATCAAGCACTGACAGTGTGCCCTCCTGCAGGGAGCCACTAACGGGGAGCTGAGTGAGGTAGGGCGGGGGCAGGGGCTCAAGTCCTCAGGTTTGTCCATAGAGACTCTCTGTCATCTCTCTAGGTCTCATCCTCTGGGGCCAGTGGCTTCCCGCGGCAGCCAGATACCAGGTACTCTTCTTAAAACCCTTCTGTCTCGATTCCAGTGTCCTGGGGGATATGAAAGAAGACTACTCTTCTGGGTGATAATACTACTACTCTTCTGGGTGAGTATGTGCACACAGTGAGATAGGCTGTCCTCTATGGTGATGGGGATGTGGCTCTCTCACTCAGGGGCTAGACATCCAGCCATTGGGATGAGGGGAATGCGGGATCACAAGACGTTTCCTCAGGGCCCTATTGAGGATTGGTAGAGTCTGAGGGCCCACAGTTTCCCTTGGAATCCAGCAGGGGCGCCCAACCCTCCTTAAGGGTCAGCCTCTGCTCACTGCTCTTAGAGGCTATCTCCTCCTTGTAACTTAAATTCATTCTCTTCAAGCCTGCCCCTATTCCTCCTGGGCCCACCCTGGGTCTTCAAATTCTCCAAGAGTCATGTGTGGTGGCAGCATGTCACTTCTAGTGAGGCAAGTGGCTGTTAAGGAGACCTCACACCTGGGCTGCACATGCTGCTGGCTGCCCTCCTGCCTTGCTCCTGCTTTGGAGCCAAGCTCTGGTTAGCTGTTCTGTGGCTCAGGACACAGAACGCCTGAGGTCTGGAGAGAACAGAGCTGTGGAGCTTCAGGGCCCTGGTGGGATCCAGCTGCTTCTCACGCCCCGAGGGTCCAAGCGTGTGATGCTAGAAGCCTCTGGGTGACCTCACAGGATTGCCCCCAGGCTCTGATCTCCACGTGTGACCCTAGGCGACTCCCTTAACTCAGCTGTAAAGTGGGCATGATAGTCACAGCCTGTCCTACTTCACGGGGTTGCAGGAGAAGCAACTGCAACAAAAAGCGAGAAAGCACTTTGTAAACTGTCGGTGATGCGTAAACGGTAAAGGTCCCTGTAAACAGCCAAGTGCCTGGGGCCTGATTCCACTCCGTGAAGGGATGTCCCTGCAAAATGTGCACAAAAGAAACAGTGCCAGCCCCCTTCTAAATGGCCATGGGATGGAAACATGGGTCAGGGGCCAGAGTTCTGCCCATCACTGCAGAGCTGGGATAACTAAGGTCCCTAAGGTGCCTTCCCAAATAACTAAGGTGCCATCTGGCTTCATCCCAGGAGCTGGACCCTGCAGGAGCTGGCCCAGGACCCTTAGGTCACAGCTTCCACACAGGAAAGGTCAAATAAGGAAGTAAGTCTTTGGACCTGAAAAGCAGGAGAAGAAGTGGCCATTTGTCTACGGAGACAAGGTCCAAAGCTTGCAGGGTCATGTTCATGGAATCATTCATTCAACAAGGGCTCAGAGACACCTGTTCTGTAGCCAGGCTTGTTCTGGACCCTGCAGGGGGACTGCAGAGAGGAATCAAACTCAGCAGAATGGCAGCAGGGGGCTGGGAGGTGGGCGAGACTGGGGTCAGTGTGGCTAGTGCACTGGGGGGCAAGGGACAGGGGCAAGGGATGAGAGCAACTTCATCTACTATAGGCCAGGCATTAAACTAAAGCTTTTACTTGCCATTATCTCACTTAATCCTTACTATTAACTTCTTTTTATAGATAAGAAAACTGAAGCTCAGATAACTTAAATAACTTAGCCAAGGCTACAGAGCTAGTAAGTGGTGCAGCCCCGATCCAATGAGATAAAGCTGGAGACGTGAGCAGGGGAAGATCAAGAAGGATTCTGTGTGCCTTGCTCTGGAGTGTGTGCTTGACTGTGTCGGCAATGAGACGCCACTGAGGTTGTCAGAGCAAGGGCGAGACACAGCAGATAACTCCGACAACTGCTGAGGACGGACTCAGGGGAGAGACCATAGGCAGGGTCTCCTGGGATATGGCTGCAGCAGTGGAAAGAGATAGGTGGACCGATCTGAGAGATGTGGGTGATACATCAAGAGGACCCGGTTCTCTATTAGAGAAGGATCAGGGTATCTCTCAGATTTCAGGCTGGGGAAATGGGGGACAGTGTTGCCACTTAGTGAAAGAGTGCATGTAAGAGAAAGGCACAGCTGTTTTGGAAGATCACCCCCATATCATAGCTAAGGTGACGTCCACAGGCAGATTTCTGGGTCCAGAGCTCAGGCAAGATGTCTGGGCTGGAGAGACAAAATTAGGAGTTGCTGGTATGCAGGTAAGCGAAGCTACAGGAGTGGATGAGCTCGCCCAGGAAAGTAGAGTGTGACAGTGGAGCCAGGGTAAGGGTCACTGGCTCCCCGTATGAAGGGACGAGCAAAGACAGAAAGCGGCAATCAGGGAAGCAGCAGGGAAGTCAGGAGAGGGCAGGGCTCTGGAAACCCAGGAAAAGAGGGAGTGGTCAAGAAGGAGGGAGGGATGCCCAATGCTGCTGAGCTGTCAAGGCGGGTAAGGCCTCAGTAGCATTAGAGGAGCCAGGGCGGGAAGTGGCCTACAGGGCAGTGAATGGGTGGCACAGGGCCGGGCTCAGAGTGAGCACTACATAAATACTTGATGAAGAAACGCACACAACGGCGTGCCTTCCCAGAACTGCTGCCACTTATGGTCAATGGTGTTCTGGGGAGGAGTCCAGGCCTGCAGGGAGGACTGTCTGCCTGCTTAAGGAGCTGCCTGAGGGATCTATGAGGAAATGCAGAGGAGCTAAACATTGCCGGCTGCTGTGTGGGGCTGGGCATCGGCCGCAAATGCTGCCTGCCGGACAGTTTCCTGCCTTGATTATGGCTGTTTTAATTAACTGTGCTATAGCTGCCTCCATCTTGTTGAGTTTTAATTAAATTAAATGAGCTAACACTTCATGGGCTGTCTCAGGCGACTATGGCTAGGGCCAGAATCCTACCCCAGCTGGGCGGCTCATCTCTCCCTCCTCCCCCTAGGCACTGCTGGGGCGTTTGCCTGGCAGGAGTTGGTGGGGAGAGGTTGGCACCCCAAGGAGTGGTAGGGGTATCTCTGGAGCCTGTGGTGGCCATGTCATTTTCTCTCTCGTGGTGTTGACATGGGGTGGACAGCAGGGGCTCGGGCCAGTGCTGGCCATCATGTCCAAGGCCCACCACCCCACAGCTGGCAAGAGATCTCTGGAACAAGGTCTGCTGGTCCAGCCTGTGCTGGTGGCAGATGCAGAGTGCAAATGAGCCGATTCTGAGCCTCCTTTCCTGCCCGCTCTGTTCCCACAAAAACTGAATCAATTATCCTGGCGGGAGCCTTGTGAGCAGATCGATCAATGGGGTGACACCTCCTGCAGCCCTGTTCCTAGGACTCCAAGCTGGCTCGACTGAGATATCCAAAGGAGACCAGGTGGCTCTAGTGGCCAAGGGATGGGCCACAGTCACCTTGCTTGGTAGTGATTCTCCCTGGCTCCAGGCCCCCAAGGTCCAGCCCTCTGAAGGCTGATGAATGAGGCATCTTTGATCTCTTTTCCCAGCTAAGCTCTGCTGTCTGGAGAAGTGAAGACAAGTACCATTCAGAACCCCTCTCAGGGCAGGGTGGAGGATAAACATCCATAGCACACCTTTGCAGAGCCCAAGGCCATACTGGACATGCCACAGATGCTGCAAGGAGCAGGACTGGCCCAAAGGCTGGAGTCTGCCAATCTGGGGATGGTAAAGGCACTGCTGATGACCAGCCCGTGCCACCATGCTCTCCTCCCTAAACCAGGTGTACCTATACCAAGATCCAGCCCACCCAACTGGCTGCCCTCTGCTCAGCCTCAAAGCCTCAGCCCAGGCTGAGGCCACCCATGACTCCCCAGGCACCTAGGGACAAGAGGGAAGACTGCACTGAGTTCTGGCCAGACAGCTTTCTTGACATCCCTGTGGCCCCTTGACTGCCACCCTCTCCTTACCTGAACGTAGCTGCTTGATGCGGCCGTTGCTGGTGGCGGGGTCCACTGGAAGGAAGTCCTTGAACCAAGAGATCTCAGGGTCTGGGTTCCCACCTGCTGCACATAGCATGGTGGCTGTGCGTGCCTTCTCCACCACCTTCAGCTGTGGCCCCATGTCGATGGAGGGGAACCCGGGGGGCAACTGCTCCTCTGCAGACAAAGACCAGATGTGTGAATTAGAGTTGGCTCTGCCTCCATGTTAGGACCCCTCTCTAGGCAGCTTCCCATGCTGACTTCTAAACGTGAAGCCTGCACAGATGTGAGGACACAGAGCCCTGAGTCCCACTGCCCAGGCCTGCTCTCTTGCAGGGCCTGGGGGATGCAGGTGGCCCAGGAAGTTTCCAGATCTGAGAAACAATGCCTCAGACTGAAGGCATCACCACTTATCTCTAGGCCCTGAGGAAGAGGAGGACTGATGCTTTCTCTGCTGGCCACAGAAAAAAGAACTACAGGGATGCTAGGGTGTGAGGAGCCCATAGTTCATGTGGCATCAATAGCCACGACTTGGGCAGAAGGCCTTATGCTGTCCCATCTTCACTCCCCGGTTTGCACAGTGTCCCCTCTACTCTGTCATTTAGCCTTTAGCTTCACCCTACAGCACAGCCCCAGATTAAAGCCCAGAATCTGGCCCTGACCCTCTACCCCTGGTCCTCATCTTGACCTATTTTCCACTGAGCACTCATTCTGACTCACTCAGTCCTGACTGGTGCCACAGTGAGACCTGGGGACCACATCTGAGCATGTGGAGGCTAGGAAATAAAGGAATTCTTGGAGGACATGGAAGTTGATGCAGGAAGGCAAAACTCCTCTGTGGTGGCCTTCTCCCAGGTTTGGGCTCATGAAGGACTCGCCTCCATGAGGGCAACAGCAACAGACACTAGGGGCACAGCTCTCTCTCACCACATATGGACTCCATACCAGCCTAAGAGGGTGGGAGAACCAAGAACGCCTACTCCTCAGCTCCTAGAAACACGAGGTAAAGGGGTTGGGAGGATAGGCTCTGGCCCAGTGCAGCCCAAAGAAGGGCTTCTATCTCCAATACTAACTAGCCCTGTGGCCTCTAAGTTGCTTATCCTCTCTGTGTCTCCATTTTCATCTGTACAATAGGGTACGAGTACCTACTTTGCAAAGCTAGCTGTTGTGAGGACATGTGACAACGCATGTAAAAGGCACTGGAGAGTGTCTGACACAGAATCTGTGCCTAATAAATATTGTTGTTGTTGTTGTTGTTATGTGCCGTCGAGTCGGCCCCGACTCATAGCGACCCCTCCTTGGGTTTCCGAGGCAGTATCACTACGGAAGTAGGATTGCCCAACCTTCCTTCCGAGGAGTGGCTGGTGGGTTTGAACCGCCAGCCGTCTGGTTAGCAGGCAAGTGTCTTAGCCACTATGCTACCAGAGCTCCTTAATAAATATTAGCTGATGTTATTATAACTAGTAAGGGCTGAGCCACCAGAGCGGACAGGTATTGAGACCAAGGTCCAGGGCTACCCCTTCCCATCCTGGGCTAGTTAGTTGAGAGGGCCACCCTTACACCCCAATCCCAGGTGGCCACTTCCCCACCAAGACCAAACCACAAGTGAATGCAAGGCACACCCAACTGGGAAAAGGGGAACATTTTGTCCTTTGTCAATCATCTGAAGGGAGAGCTGGGCTCCACAGTGGAGGATGCCAAGAGGCTAGCACCACTCCGCATTTCTCTCCTACACACCCAGTACAAGATGTGTGCGTGGGAACACTTGCTGAGGTCAGGTTCCTATGCCAGGGGAAAAGCATGTGGCATCCTCAGAAAGAAAAAAAGTAAAGGCTTCAGAGAGCCAGTCTTCTCTGGAGACTCTGAGAGACCCAAGGGGACTGGCTTGGGGGAAGAAGGTAAATGAGGAAGCCAGAGGAACCTCAACAGACAACGCCAAGATGTCCCTCATTTGCTGCCAGACCCCAAGGGAAGTCGGCCAAGGCTCCTGCTGTCAGCAGGCAAGCCAAGGGACTGTATTTCTGCTAAAGGGGCGTGGGTATCTCAGGGCCAGGGAACAGTAAGACTCCCAGCATGGCTTCACCTCCCTATCCCTCCCAGTAGCTGGCAGCACATTTCCCCAGGCGCAGCCCTATAAATTCTGGATGTAAACCCAGCATCTCTTTGGCTGTAAATATGATCACACAGCATCCTGACTTTTAGCTCTGATTTTTAAAAGGAAAATATTAAACAGTGGCAAGAAAAAGGAAGATGGAAATGAAGCAAGACTTGGGGATATATGGAGCAGTGGAATCATTTCCTTTCACCCTGCTGCTACTTGCTTTCACAAGAAGACTGTCCTACCTGCCTCCCCAACAGCTTGGGGACACTCACAGATGCAAGAGCCATTCTAGCCTACCAGGGCAAGTCTATCTCTTTCCATATCTCCATCCTATCTGCTCAGCACTCCTGAGCAATGGTTATGGACATCCAGGGCCTGCTCATTGAGCAGGGCACTTCAATGGAGTCCGGGAGTCAACTGGCCCCTCATCCTACCCACAAGGTACTGATCAAGGAGAATGAAGTACAAATGTCTGCAGCCCTGTGTCCCAAGAATCTACTCTGGATTCCTGACACAGGGAAGGTCTTTGGGATTTATGCCAAATTAAGGACAATTAATTTTCCTCCCTCAATTATCGTGCCCTCAATGGCTCCGTCCTTGGCTCAAATCATCCCTCAGGCACCATCGCCAGAACCTAAGCCAGCATGTGTTAAGAGCTGTCCATAAAACAGTAGGACCCAAAAGCCAATCCCTTGTGCCAACTAGGCTTCTAGGCAGAACTCAGAAGACTGCTGCTATGCCACCTCAGGGAGGAGAAGTGTGTCTCACAGGAGGACTCCAGTCCCTCAGTAATGACCCACTATGGTCTCTTCCTTCTATTCCCTCTGGGGAGCCTCCAGCACATTCAAATTCAGCCAAGGACAGCAGCCGTGTACTGACGCCTGCCGTGTGTCTGGCCGACATGAATGCCGGGCACACTGATGTAAACTGGACCCCTCTACTAGGCTGGCACACTTACCCCTTTCACAATCCTCTCCAAGTACGCATGGTTGCCTGAAGCACTCAGGCTAAGGGCCCAGGACCAATCCCCCAGGCTGATGTCACATGATGACACCAAACCCATCACAACTGGGAACACTGCAGCCGTATCTGAGAAATAATAGGTTCCATTGATAGAGTGTTTACATTACAAGCACTGTGCAAATGGTTAAGTGCTTGACTACTAGCTGCAAGGTTGGCACTTTGAACCAACTCAGAGGTGCCTCAGAAGTAAGGCCTGGTGATCTCCTTCCCAAAGGTCACAGCTTTGAAAACACTGTGGAATTCTCCTCTGCAAACATGGGGTCGCCATGAGTCAGAACTGACTGGTTGGCAACTGACAACAGCCACAGCATTAAGATGTTTTACAAAATGACTTAATCTTTACTAAAACCCTATGAGGTATGAAGGCTATGAGAGATGAAGAAACCTAATCAAGGTCACAGGGCTGAACCGCAGCTGGGGCTGGGATGAGACCTGGTGGAAAGTTCCCAGACCTAGCTCTCTAGGTCAGCGTGAAACACCGGCACCTGGCAGGGTTGGGGCCCTGGAGTTCAGGGAGGGCGTGGTGGGCAGGAGGAGGTAAAGAGCATCCCAAGGAGAACTGAGCAACAATCCAGGGCATCCCTTAATTTGCCCCTCCTCCAATACCAGGCCCTCAGCAGGCTCCTGGGCTCAGCAGCTCCATCCACCTCTACTGCAGACCCCCTGCACATGCTGCTGCTTTTGTATTTACTGCAAAAGGAACCTGAATGCTCCCCACTTGTGCACACCCGTGGACATGCACCCACATTCCAACACCGGAAACACTGGTCACACCAAGGCCCTTCACGACAGTCCTGAGGACCAAGGAGCTGCCAGAGAAAGGGAAAGGGCCCCGCCCCCTGCAGGCCAGCAGGTAACTATGGCAACGGGGGAGCGGTTGGCGCCGTGGTGGAAGAGCTGCCTTGCACGTGCACAGTGCTACGGGGCGGGCTTGCGCATCTTGGTCAGAGTTGGAACTGTCCCTCCCGCACAAGCTTGGGTGCAGCCGCCGCGCCCCCTCTCATATCCCCACTCCGCAACTCTCGGGGACCCTTCTCCTCAGGCTTCTTCTCAGCTCAACCAACATGCAACTGGGGGCCCCCAGGGTGCCCTGCATAGTGTTGAGAAATCTCCACTTTTGCCTCTGCAACCTCAGCACAGGGCATCTACAATGCATGTGACTAGACCCAATTAACTGCTGATAATGTCTATCAGACAGAAAGAGAACCCCATGGATAACATGGGGGACTTGAGGGCCACTGGGATCCCAAGCCTCTATGCCTGTTGTGGCTTCCACTGGCTTGCATGCATACACTCCTGAGGGTCTGCTGGCACACATCTGTGTGTACCTGTGGTGGGTGCACATATAGGCATGAATGGCTGCCATGATGAGCTATGCAGGTCTTTAGACACTGCAGTAGGAGCCCTTATCCCCATCTCTGGAGAGGTCCTGCTTGCCCCTACTTAGGAAAGGAAGATGATAGGCTATGTGCCAGGGATAGATAGGAGCTGAGGGTTCAAAGAGGGGGGCAAGTGCTTGGCTGAGGTCCCACAGCAGTAGGGTAACTTAATCAGTCTGCCTTCACAGCTCACTTGCAGCCTTGGTGGCTTCCTGGAGGAGGAGGGAGATTCAAGAGTAGGAAGGACCTAAGCGTGGGAGGGACCAAGAGCTTTCTAAGGGGAAGGAGAAGGGGACTATCTGAGCAAAGGCTGTGGAGAAGGTAGGGAACAGTGAGGAGGCTGGAACTGGGCGTGTGTTGGGTCCTGAGGGAGACTAGGCTGGGGGTGAACAGGTGGTCGGCCCAGACTAAGCATCTGGCTGCAATGACTAGGGGAGGGAGGCTGCTGAGACTCCCTACAAAACATACATAGGTCCCTTTGTCCAGCTTAGCCTGGGATGCCCCAAGGCGCCTGGGCCAGTGGGAGGGGGCTGCACCAGGGAAGCTGACAGATGGAGACGCCTTACAGGGTCCCTGGGCAGACAAACCGTCTGTCAGCATGACCTCCTCACCCGTGTTTACCCAGCTTCATGGTGTTTCTGCCTATGCAGGCACACTTGTATACACATATGTAT